TTGGTGTACCTCGTGACATCCGTCATGATATCACCCTGGCTGTTGGTGTCCCTCATGGCACCCGTCCTGATATCACATTGGCTGTTGGTGTCCCTCGTGACTTCCGTCCTGATATCACCCTGGCTGTTGGTGTCCCTCGTGACATCCGTCCTGATATCGCCCTGGCTGTTGGTGTCCCTCGTGACAACAGTCCTGATATCACCATGGCTGTTGATGTACCTCTTTCGTGACATCCGTCCTGATATCACCCTAGCTGTTGGTGTCCCTCGTGACATCCGTCCTGATATCACCCTGGCTGTTGGTGTCCCTCGTGACAACTGTCCTGATATCACCGTGGCTGTTGGTGTCCCTCGTGGCAACCGTCCTTATTTCTCTATGGCTGTTGGTGTCCCTCGTGAAAACCGTCCCGATATCAACCTGGTTGTTGATGTCCTTAGGGACACCCGTCCTGATATCATCCTGGCCGTTGGTGTCCCTCGTGACTTCCGTCCTGATATCACCCTGGCTGTTGGTGTACCTCGTGACATCCGTCCTGATATCACCCTGGCTGTTGGTGTCCCTCGTGACAACTGTCCTGATATCACCCTGGCTGTTTGTGTCCCTCATGGCACCCGTCCTGATATCACCCTGGCTGTTGGTGTCCCTCATGGCACCCGTCCTGATATCACCCTGGCTGTTGGTGTCCCTCATGGCACCCGTCCTGATATCACATTGGCTGTTGGTGTCCCTCGTGAAAACCGTCCTGATATCGAACTGGTTATTGGTTACCCTCCTTCGTGACACCCGTCCTGATATCACCCTAGCTGTTGGTGTCCCTCGTGACACCCGTCCTGATATCATCCTGGCCGTTGGTGTCCCTTATGGCACCCGTCCTGATATCACATTGGCTGTTGGTGTCCCTCGTGACTTCCGTCCTGATATCACCCTGGCTGTTTGTGTCCCTCATGGCACCCGTCCTGATATCATTCTGGCCGTTGGTGTCCCTTATGGCACCCGTCCTGATATCACCCTGGCTGTTGGTGTCCCTCATGGCACCCGTCCTGATATCACCCTGGCTGTTGGTGTCCCTCATGGCACCCGTCCTGATATCACATTGGCTGTTGGTGTCCCTCGTGAAAACCGTCCTGATATCGAACTGGTTATTGGTTACCCTCCTTCGTGACACCCGTCCTGATATCACCATGGCTGTTGGTGTCCCTCATGCCACCCGTCCTGATATCACATTGGCTGTTGGTGTCCCTCGTGAAAACCGTCCTGATATCACAGGTTGTTGGTGTCCCTCGTGACTTCCGTCCTGATATCACCCTGGCTGTTGATGTCCCTCGTGACATCCGTCATGATATCACCCTTCTTGTTGGTGTCCCTCGTGACAACCGTCCTTATTTCTCCATAATTGTTGCTTTCCCTTGTGATATCCGTCCTGATGTCAATCTGGTTGTTGGTGTCCCTCGTGACATCCGTCATGATATCACCCCGGTTGTTGATGTCCTTAGGGACATCCGTCCTGATATCATCCTGGCTGTTGGTGTCCCTCGTGACATCCGTCCTGATATCACCCTGGCTGTTGGTGTCCCTCGTGACATCCGTCCTGATATCACCCTGGCTGTTGGTGTCCCTCGTGGCACCCGTCCTGATATCACATTGGCTGTTGGTGTCCCTCGTGACTTCCGTCCTGATATCACCCTGGCTGTTGGTGTCCCTCGTGACATCCGTCCTGATATCACATTGGCTGTTGGTGTCCCTCGTGACTTCCGTCCTGATATCACCCTGGCTGTTGGTGTCCCTCGTGACATCCGTCCTGATATCAACCTGGTTGTTGATGTCCTTAGGGACACCCGTCCTGATATCATTCTGGCCGTTGGTGTCCCTTATGGCACCCGTCCTGATATCACATTGGCTGTTTGTGTCCCTCATGCCACCCGTCATGATATCACCACGATTTTTGGTGTCCCTCGTGACACCCGTCATGATATCACCTTGGTTGTTGGTGTCCATCCTGACATCTGTTCTGATATGACCCTGGTTGATGGTGTCCCTGGTGACATCCGTCCTGATATCACTTGGTTATTGGTTACCCTCGTGGCAACCCTCCTTATTTCTCTATGGTTGTTGGTGTCCCCCGTGAAAACCGTCCTGATATCACCGTGGTTTTTTGTGTCTCGCGTGACATACGTCCTGATTTCAACTTGGTTGTTGGTATCCCTCGTGACACCTGTCCTGATTTCAACTTGGTTGTTGGTATCCCTCGTGACATCTGTCCTGATTTCAACTTGGCTGTTGGTGTCCCTCGTGACAACCATCCAGATATCAGCGTTGTTATTGGTTACCCTCCTTCGTGACAACCATCCTGATATCACCCTGGCTGTTGGTGTCCCTCGTGACATCTGTCCTGATATCACCCTGGCTGTTGGTGTCCCTCGTGACATCTGTCCTGATTTCAACTTGGTTTTTGGTGTCCCTCGTGACAACCATCCTGATATCATCCTGGCTGTTGCTGTATCTCAAGACTTCCGTCCTGATATAACACTGGTTGTTGATGTCCTCGTGACACCCGTTCTCATATCACCCTGGTGTTTTGTATCCCTCGTGACATATGTTCTGAAAATACCCTGGTTGTTCCTGTTCCTCGTGACATCATCCCTGATATAACCGTGGTTGTTGGTGTACCTCGTGACTTCCGTCCTGATATCACAGGTTGTTGATGTCCTCGTGACACCCGTTCTCATATCACCCTGGTGTTTTGTATCCCTCGTGACATATGTTCTGAAAATACCCTGGTTGTTCCTGTTCCTCGTGACATCATCCCTGATATAACCGTGGTTGTTGGTGTACCTCGTGACTTCCGTCCTGATATCACAGGTTGTTGGTGTACCTCGTGACTTCCGTCCTGATATCACAGGTTGTTGGTGTACCTCGTGACTTCCGTCCTGATATCACAGGTTGTTGGTGTACCTCGTGACTTCCGTCCTGATATCACAGGTTGTTGGTTTCCATCGTAGCAACAGTTCTGATATCACCCTGGTTGTTTGTGCCCCTCATGAAACCCGTCCTGATTTCACCATGAATATTCGTGTCCCTCGTGGCAACTGTCCTGATATCACCCTGGATGTAGGTGACCCTCGTGATAACCGTCATGATATCATCCTGATTGTTAGTGTCCCTCGTGACATATGTCCTGATATCACCATTATTGTTGATGTCCCTCGTGGTACCCGTCCTGATATCACCTTGGTTGTTGGTGTCCCCCGTGAAAACCGTCCTGATATCACCGTGGTTGTTTGTGTCTCGCGTGAAATACGTCCTGATATCACCCTGGCTGTAGGTGTCTCACGTGGTACCCGTCCTGATACCTCCCTGATTGATGGTGTCCCTCTCGACATCCGCCCTGATATCACCTGGTTGTTGGTGACCTTCACTCGTGACAACCATCCTGATATAACATTGGCTGTTGGTGTCCCTCGTTACAACCATCCTGATATCACCGTTGTTATTGGTTACCCTCTTTCGTGACAACCATCCTGATATCACCCTGGTTGTTGGTGTCCCTCGTGACCACTGTCCTTATCTCTCCATGGTTATTGGTGTCCCCCGTGACAACCATCCTGATATCACCCTGGCTGTTGGTGTCCCTCGTGACAACCATCCTGATATCAGCGTTGTTATTGGTTACCCTCCTTCGTGACAACCATCCTGATATCACCCTGGCTGTTGGTGTCCCTCGTGACATCTGTCCTGATTTCAACTTGGTTGTTGGTATCCCTCGTGACATCTGTCCTGATATCACCCTAGCTGTTGGTGTCCCTCGTGACATCTGTCCTGATTTCAACTTGGTTGTTGGTATCCCTCGTGACATCTGTCCTGATATCACCCTAGCTGTTGGTGTCCCTCGTGACATCTGTCTTGATTTCAACTTGGTTGTTGGTATCCCTCGTGACATCTGTCCTGATATCAGCGTTGTTATTGGTTACCCTCCTTCGTGACAACCATCCTGATATTACATTGGCTGTTGGTGTCCCTCGTGACAACCATCCTGATATCACCGTTGTTATTGGTTACCCTCCTTCGTGACAACCATCCTGATATTACATTGGCTGTTGGTGTCCCTCGTGACAACCATCCTGATATCAGCGTTGTTATTGGTTACCCTCCTTCGTGACAACCATCCTGATATCACCCTGGCTGTTGGTGTCCCTCGTGACATCTGTCCTGATTTCAACTTGGTTGTTGGTATCCCTCGTGACATCTGTCCTGATATCACCCTAGCTGTTGGTGTCCCTCGTGACATCTGTCCTGATTTCAACTTGGTTGTTGGTATCCCTCGTGACATCTGTCCTGATATCACCCTAGCGGTTGGTGTCCCTCGTGACATCTGTCCTGATATCACCCTGGCTGTTGGTGTCCCTCGTGACATCTGTCCTGATTTCAACTTGGTTGTTGGTATCCCTCGTGACATCTGTCCTGATATCAGCGTTGTTATTGGTTACCCTCCTTCGTGACAACCATCCTTATATTACATTGGTTGTTGGTGATATCACCCTCTGATTTCACCATGAATATTCGTGTCCCTCGTGGCACCTGTCCTGATATCACCCTGGATGTAGGTGTCCCTCGTGACAACCGTCATGATATCACGTCCTGATATCAACCTGGTTGTTTGTGTCCCGCGTGACATACGTCCTGATATCACCCTGGTTGTTTGTGTCCCGCGTGACAAACGTTCTGATATCACTCTGGTTGTTGGTGTCCTTCGTGACATCCGTCCTGATATCACCCTGTTTGTTGGCGTCCATCATGATATCCGTCCAGATATCTCTCTGGCTGTTGGTGTTTCTCGTGTTACCTGTCCTGATATCATCTTGGTTGTTTGTTTCCCTCGTGACTTTCTCCCTTATATTACCTTTGTTGTTGCGAAGACGATGAAACTTTTAATAAAACAAGAACAAAAAATGATCTCGCAAGTAAATCACTAACACCTTTGGTACATGAAATTGTTCTTTCAGAAATGGACGGAAAAGTTATGCAAGGCAGACTCTGATGGCGATGGCATGATGAACGGTTATGAACTAGGTGACCCTTGGTGTAGATGGAAGAAAGAAACACCGACTTCACTTTTACCCGCTCAACACCATCCAGGCGAGTATAACAAACTGTTGAATCTGCACACCATCCAGGCGAGTATAACAAACTGTTGAATCTGTACACCATGAAGACGAGTATAACAAACTGTTGAATCTGTACACCATCCAGGTGAGTAGAACAAACTGTTGAATATGTACAACATGAAGACGAGTATAACAAACTGTTGAATCTGTACACCATGAAGACGAGTATAACAAACTGTTGAATCTGTACACCATGAAGACGAGTATAACAAACTGTTGAATTTGTACACCATCCAGTTGAGTAGAACAAACTGTTGAATCTGTACACCATGAAGACGAGTAGAACAAACTGTTGAATCTGTACACCATGAAGGTGAGTATTACAAACTGTTGAATCTGTACACCATCCAGGTGAGTATAACAAACTGTTGAATCTGTACACCATCCAGGTGAGTATAACAAACTGTTGAATATGTACACCATCCAGGTGAGTATAACAAAGTGTTGAATATGTACACCATCCAGGTGAGTATAACAAACTGTTGAATATGTACACCATAAAGACGAGTATAACAAACTGTTGAATCTGTACACCATGAAGACGAGTATAACAAACTGTTGAATCTGTACACCATCCAGGTGAGTATAACAAACTGTTGAATATGTACACCATGAAGACGAGTATAACAAACTGTTGAATCTGTACACCATGAAGACGAGTATAACAAACTGTTGAATCTGTACACCATGAAGACGAGTATAACAAACTGTTGAATCTGTACACCATGAAGACGAGTATAACAAACTGTTGAATCTGTACACCATGAAGACGAGTATAACAAACTGTTGAATCTGTACACCATGAAGACGAGTATAACAAACTGTTGAATCTGTACACCATGAAGACGAGTATAACAAACTGTTGAATCTGTACACCATGAAGACGAGTATAACAAACTGTTGAATCTGTACACCATGAAGACGAGTATAACAAACTGTTGAATCTGTACACCATGAAGACGAGTATAACAAACTGTTGAATCTGTACACCATGAAGACGAGTATAACAAACTGTTGAATCTGTACACCATGAAGACGAGTATAACAAACTGTTGAATCTGTACACCATGAAGACGAGTATAACAAACTGTTGAATCTGTACACATGAAGACGAGTATAACAAACTGTTGAATCTGTACACCACGAGTATAACAAACTGTTGAATATGTACACCATGAAGACAAGTATAACAAACTGTTGAATCTGTACACCATCCAGGCGAGTATAACAAACTGTTGAATATGTACACCATCCAGGTGAGTATAACAAACTGTTGAATATGTACACCATAAAGACGAGTATAACAAACTGTTGAATCTGTACACCATGAAGACGAGTATAACAAACTGTTGAATCTGTACAACATGAAGACGAGTATAACAAACTGTTGAATATGTACACCATGAAGACAAGTATAACAAACTGTTGAATCTGTACACCATCCAGGCGAGTATAACAAACTGTTGAATATGTACACCATGAAGACGAGTATAACAAACTGTTGAATATGTACACCATGAAGACGAGTATAACAAACTGTTGAATCTGTACACCATGAAGACGAGTATAACAAACTGTTGAATCTGTACACCATGAAGACGAGTATAACAAACTGTTGAATATGTACACCATGAAGACGAGTATAACAAACTGTTGAATCTGTACACCATGAAGACGAGTATAACAAACTGTTGAATTTGTACACCATCCAGTTGAGTAGAACAAACTGTTGAATCTGTACACCATGAAGACGAGTATAACAAACTGTTGAATATGTACACCATGAAGGTGAGTATTACAAACTGTTGAATCTGTACACCATGAAGACGAGTATAACAAACTGTTGAATCTGTACAACATGAAGACGAGTATAACAAACTGTTGAATCTGTACAACATGAAGACGAGTATAACAAACTGTTGAATATGTACACCATCCAGTTGAGTAGAACAAACTGTTGAATCTGTACACCATGAAGACGAGTATAACAAACTGTTGAATCTGTACAACATGAAGACGAGTATAACAAACTGTTGAATCTGTACACCATGAAGACGAGTATAACAAACTGTTGAATCTGTACACCATGAAGACGAGTAGAACAAACTGTTGAATCTGTACACCATGAAGGTGAGTATTACAAACTGTTGAATCTGTACACCATGAAGACGAGTATAACAAACTGTTGAATCTGTACAACATGAAGACGAGTATAACAAACTGTTGAATCTGTACACCATGAAGACGAGTATAACAAACTGTTGAATCTGTACACCATGAAGACGAGTATAACAAACTGTTGAATCTGTACAACATGAAGACGAGTATAACAAACTGTTGAATCTGTACAACATGAAGACGAGTATAACAAACTGTTGAATATGTACACCATGAAGACAAGTATAACAAACTGTTGAATCTGTACACCATCCAGGCGAGTATAACAAACTGTTGAATATGTACACCATGAAGACGAGTATAACAAACTGTTGAATCTGTACACCATGAAGACGAGTATAACAAACTGTTGAATCTGTACACCATGAAGACGAGTATAACAAACTGTTGAATTTGTACACCATCCAGTTGAGTAGAACAAACTGTTGAATCTGTACACCATGAAGACGAGTAGAACAAACTGTTGAATCTGTACACCATGAAGGTGAGTATTACAAACTGTTGAATCTGTACACCATGAAGACGAGTATAACAAACTGTTGAATCTGTACACCATGAAGACGAGTATAACAAACTGTTGAATCTGTACACCATCCAGGTGAGTATAACAAACTGTTGAATCTGTACACCATCCAGTTGAGTATAACAAACTGTTGAATCTGTACACCATCCAGGTGAGTATAACAAACTGTTGAATCTGTACACCATCCAGTTGAGTATAACAAACTGTTGAATCTGTACACCATAAAGACGAGTATAACAAACTGTTGAATCTGTACACCATCCAGGCGAGTATTACAAACTGAATAATATAACACTAAAATAAATCCCATTATAAGGTGGTATACATACTTACACAGATATTGTATCAAGTCATATGCTTTTGTCAAAAGGCGAAGTCGTTGATTTCGTTTACGAAATAAACTTCGCGAAATTGTAATGGGGAAAGCAGACTGATGTTAGGTCTGACCACGATATTATTCAGGATTCTTATTCCTGCCCGAGATAATGACACACAGCTCAGGCAGATAACTGCAAAATTGGTGTCGCCGTTCTCTTGTTAATGTAGGTAATTATGTAGATCTGGTGTTTATTAAGCAGTTTTATTATCTAGCTCCTTATCTAATATCTTATCTAATATCAGGTAATTAAACTGTAAGCATATTAACAAAACATAAAAATTTTATTATTGAAAAAAAATTCTTCATTTAGGGGATAGCTGGCACGCGTTCAGCAAGGACAGTTTATTACATATATATGTTTGAGGGTGTGACGTGTATGGTGATGTGACGTGTATGAGGGTGTGACGTGTATGGTGATGTAACGTGCATGAAGGTGTGACGTGTATGAGGGTATGACGTGTATGAGGGTGTGACGTGTATGATGATGTGACATGTATGAGGGTGTGACATGTATGAGGTTGTGACGTACATGAGAGTGTGACGTGTATGAGGGTGTGACATGTATGAGGGTGTGACGTGTATGAGAGTGTGACGTGTATGAGGGTGTGACGTGTATTAGGGTGTGACGTGTATGACGGTGTGACGTGTATGAGGGTGTGACGTACATGAGGGTGTGACGTGTATGAGGATGTGGTGTTCGAGGTGTGGTGTGTATGAGGGTGCAATGTGTGTGAGGGAGTGAAATGTGTGAGGGTGTGAAGTGTGTGAGGGTGTGATGTGTGTGGGTGTTCCTGATCTTTAATATTGTTGAGAGAGTGAATGTAATCGATATACAGCATCATTTGATTGAACTTTATGACTATCACATTACCTCATTTAGAGATTTTCCACATCTGGTCTTTGAACTCCGATGAAAGCGGTAATGACTATAGGACGGAAGAAATCCGAGTAATTGGTTCATGATGCCCATTTATAAACATTCAGTGTCCATTGCCAGTATAATGTAACCGGGAGGGGTGCCATTACTACATTGTCTCTGCTTAGACATTTCAGTGTGACGACACTATAATGACATTTACAATTGTAATTGTTGAACCAACAAATAAGACATAAAGAAAGTGTCTTGCTCAGGAAAACCGTCACTTTCTGCTGTCTTCCGAGTCCAAACGTTAACCTGTACATATGACTAAATTTGTGATGTACATTATATGTAATCAGACTGTCTGAAACAAAGGACATGATTCATCTGTGTAGGTATCTGCGAGCCCTGGGACACCGAAGAATGTCAACGCCACAATGGGTCTATCGTTTGCCCTGACCATCTCAAATGTGCTGCAGCCTACGAACCACGTAAGACTTCTTAACTCTCTAGACCAGTCCTATATTATTTTCCGTGATCCTCCCAAGTCCTTTCCCTCTCCAGACAAGGTCTACATTTCTTCCGTGATCCTCCTTCCCCTAGTTCTTTCCCTCACCAGACAAGGTCTACTTTCTTCCGTGATCCTACCTCCCCCAGTCCTTTCCCTCTCCAGACAAGGTCTACATTTTTTCCGTGATCCTCCCTCCCCTAGTCCTTTCCCTCTCCAGACAAGGTCTACTTTCTTCCGTGATCCTACCTCCCCCAGTCCTTTCCCTCTCCAGACAAGGTCTACTTTCTTCCGTGATCCTCCCTCCCCTAGTCCTTTCCCTCTCCAGACCAGGTCTACATTTCTTCCGTGATCCTCCCTCCCCTAGTCCTTTCCCTCTCCAGACAAGGTCTACTTTCTTCCGTGATCCTACATCCCTCAGTCCTTTCCCTCTCCAGACAAGGTCTACTTTCTTCCGTGATCCTCCCTCCCCTAGTCCTTTCCCTCTCCAGACTAGGTCTACATTACTTCCGTGATCCTCCCTCCTCAGTCCTTTCCCTCTCCACACAAGGTCTACATTACTTCCGTGATCCTCCCTCCTCAGTCCTTTCCCTCTCCACACAAGGTCTACATTACTTCCGTGATCCTCCCTCCCCCAGTCCTTTCCCTCTCCAGAACAGGTCTACATTACTTCCGTGGTCCTCCCTCCTCAGTCCTTTCCCTCTCCACACAAGGTCTACATTACTTCCGTGATCCTCCCTCCCCCAGTCCTTTCCCTCTCCAGAACAGGTCTACATTACTTCCGTGGTCCTCCCTCCTCAGTCCTTTCCCTCTCCACACAAGGTCTACATTACTTCCGTGATCCTACCCCCCCCCCCTAGTCCTTTCCATCTCCAAAAAATTGCGTTTTAGTTCAAGCAGTGTATTTCTACCTCAAAGTGTGGTAAGTATAAACATGATTTAGGATATATAATGCAATATATAGTGTATACTGAGATTTTAGAGATGCCAAAAGAACTGATAAATTTGACGCTATTATCAACTTTATCAAAATGCAGAGTGCAGAGTCATATATTTCAGATTTTCAAAGAATTCAATATATTTTCTATTCATTCGCGACCGTTTGTAAAATAATGTATTGACATTATTATTTATGCATGTAAGTATTTCCGATGGCGAAATGTTTGTTTATTCACAGATGTCATAGAGATTAACAATTATTTGTCTGCAATCATTGTTTGTCTGTTATCATTTATTTGTCTGTAAACGTTATTTGTCAGTAACCATTGTTTGTCAGTAACCATTATTTGTCAGTAACCATTGTTTGTCTGACACCATTGTTTGTTTGCAACCATTATTCGTCAGTAATCATTCATTTGTCAGTAACCATTGTTTTGTCAGTAAGCATTGTTTGTCTATAACCATTCTTTGTCTGTAACCATTGTTTGTCAGTAACCACTGTTTGACACGACCATTGTTTGTCAGTAACAATTGTTTTGTCAGTAACAATTATTTGTCTGTATCCATTGTTTGTCAGTAACCATTGTTTGTTAGTAACCATTATTCGTCATTAAGCATTGTTTGCCAGTAACCATTGATTGTCAGTAACCATTGTTTTGTCTGTAGCCATTGTTTTTCTGTAACCATTGTTTGTCAGTAACCATTGTTTGTCAGTAACCATTGTTTTGTCAGTAACTATTTTTTGCCAGTAACCATTGTTTGTCAGTAACCATTGTTTTGTCTGTAGCCATTGTTTTTCTGTAACCATTGTTTGTCAGTAACCATTGTTTGTCTGTAACCATTGTTTTGTCTGTAGCCATTGTTTTTCTGTAACCATTGTTTGTCAGTAACCATTGTTTGTCAGTAATCATTGTTTTGTCAGTAACTATTTTTTGCCAGTAACCATTGTTTGTCAGTAACCATTGTTTTGTCTGTAGCCATTGTTTTTCTGTAACCATTGTTTGTCAGTAACCATTTTTTGTCAGTAACCATTGTTTTGTCTGTAGCCATTGTTTGTCTGTAACCACTGTTTTGTCTGTAAGCATTGTTTGTCAGTAACCATTGTTTGTCGTAAGCTTGTCAATAACCATTGTTTGTCAGTAACCATTGTTTGTTAGTAACCATTATTCGTCAGTAAGCATTGTTTGTCAGTAACCATTGTTTGCCAGTAACCATTGATTTGTCAGTAATCATCGTTTTGTCAGTAACTATTTTTTGTCAGTAACCATTGTTTGTCGGTAACTATTGTTTGTCTGTAACCATTGTTTTGTCTGTAACCATTGTTTTATTGTTTTGTCTGTAGCCATTGTTTGTCAGTAAGCATTGTTTGTCAGTAAGCATTGTTTGTGGGTAACCATTGTTTGCAATTAACCATTGATTTGTCAGTAACTATTTTTTGCCAGCAACCATTGTTTGTCAGTTACTATTGTTTGTCTGTAACCATTGTTTTGTCTGTAACCATTGTTTTGTCTGCAACCATTGTTTTGTCCGTAACCATTGTTTGTCTGTAACCATTGTTTTGTCTGTAACCATTGTTTTGTCTGTAACCATTGTTTGTCTGTAACCATTGTTTTGTCTCTAGCCATTGTTTTGTCTGTAACCATTGTCTGTCTGTAACCATTGTTTTGGCTGTAACCATTGTTTGTCTGTAAACATTGTTTGTCTGTAACCATTGTTTGTCAGTAACCATTGTTTTGTCTGTAACCATTGTTTTGTCTGTAGCCATTGTTTTGTCTGTAAACATTGTCTGTCTGTAACCATTGTTTTGTCTATTACGATATTTTGTTTTTTGATTAGTTATAATATCGACCATTAGGTGTGACTTGAAATACCGTGTTGTTCGTATCAGATAACACAAAAATTACCAAATCTTTTAAACAGATGATTATAGTTTAACACTTTCTATATTTTGATATTTTTGTGAATATCACTCGTCAGTTTTTGTCGATGATTCACATTTCGCAAATATCTACTCTTTCTTTTACAGATGTTGGACAGGTTTCCGCTCGACTTCCTCTCACAGTCGTTCCTAGAAAGGAGTTCACATATGCCTGCATGGTTTTCAACCTCCCCACAAAGCGTACCTATCATATGGTGGAGGCCAAACCTATCTTCTATAACAGGAGAGTTCTACACCACATGACTCTTTATGCTTGTGGTGAGTCTACAATTGTTATGTCGACTTCACCAGACTATCTGTCTGTTTACAGATTGGCAAATACAAATAGTATTAATCCTTGTCCATTGCTGATTAAGCAGTTAAGGAATATTGCGATAAAGATACTTGCAAGGAAATATAGTTTGCTTAATTTCAAAATCATTTAAAGATTAAGTCGAGTGAAATTGATTTAAGTCAAGACATTCTTTGAAGGTGAACGTAGTACTTTATGTAACATACCTAGGTGGAGAACTCTGTGACACAGTCTCGAAGCTGATGAAGAAAATATAGGCCACGTATTTGGTTAAGACATAGTACCGGGATGTTTAACTACAAATGTTCACAAAATCTTTATTTCCCAAAACAAAATATGTTTGTGAAACACTATGCCCCGGTTGCAGCAAAATTCCGAAGTGGGACATGAAAACTGTACTGTGTAAGGCATGCACACTTTGTGAAACACTTCTGTCTTCATTGTGGTAATGATTTTATAACTTTCAAGTGTAGGTCAAAGGTCATGGTCAAGGCCATCATCAGAAAAATCTTGTCACAAGAAACACACATACTATATATGAAAGTCATACCTCTTATGATGCAATAGTTATGGCCGATGAAAAATTGTGGTACTACCGAAAAAGTTTTGTCACAAGGAACAAACATGCCAAATATGAAAGTCCTACCTCTTACGGTGCAATAAGATGTAGTTAAGGTTGAAGGTTAAAGGTTAAAGATGAAAAAAGACAAAGAGGCCGACAAACAACCAGACAGCACAAACACAATGGTTCCCGATCTTTCGATCCGGAGGCATAAATATTTTGGACATTCGTGTCAGTAATCAACTAGCTTTCTTTCTTTCAGACCCTAAATTCACTGTCCGAGTGTCCGGCAAGCCGTTTGAATGTCCAAAAGTGACCACTGCTCCATGTCAACGGATCATTACATCGTACAACCCAAAGTTTCCCATCACGTGCCTTCACGATCAAGTGGGTATACACTTCGGGAAAGACGGAATAAAGCAGCTCGTGATTCAGGTAAATCAATAGCAAATTATACAAGATACTTATGCCTGAAACAAGACCTTTTAAATTATAATCCGATATTTTGTTAATGACTGTAGCGACCCAACTTTAACTAACCTGAGAACATCGTGACTAAATCAGAAGATCAGGTCATACAAGGACATCGTGACTAAATCAGATGATCTAGTCACACAAGGATATTGTGACTAAATCAGATGATCTGGTCACACAAGGACATCGTGACTAAGTCAGATGATCTGGTCACACAAGTGCACCGTGACTAAATCAGATGACCTGGTCACACAAGGACATTGTGACTAAGTCAGATGATCTGGTCACACAAAGTACATCGTGATGAAATCAGAAGATCTGGTCACACACATACATTGTGACTAAACCAGAAGATCTGGTCACACAAGAACATCGTGACTAAATCAGATGATCTGGTCACACAAGGACATCGTGACTAAATCAGATGATCTGGTCACACAAGTGCACCGTGACTAAATCAGAAGATCTGGTCACACAAGGACATCGTGACTAAGTCAGATGATCTGGTCACACAAGTGCACCGTGACTAAATCAGATGTTCTGGTCACACAAGGACATCGTGACTAAGTCAGATGATCTGGTCACACAAGTACATCGTGATGAAATCAGAAGATCTGGTCACACAAGGACAATGCGACTAAATCAGATGATCTGGTCACACAAGTGCACCGTGACTAAATCAGATGTTCTGGTCACACAAGGACATCGTGACTAAGTCAGATGATCTGGTCACACAAGTACATCGTGATGAAATCAGAAGATCTGGTCACACAAGGACAATGCGACTAAATCAGATGATCTGGTCACACAAGTGCACCGTGACTAAATCAGATGATCTGGTCACACAAGTGCACCGTGATTAAATCAGATGATCTGGTCACACAAGGACATCGTGTTGAAATCAGAAGATTTGGTCACACAAGGACAATGCATCTAAATCAGAAGATCTGGTCACACAAGGACATTGTGACTAAACCAGATGATCTGGTCACACAAGTACATCGTGATGAAATCAAAAGATCTGGTCACACAAGGATATTGTGACTAAATCAGATGATCTGGTCACACAAGGATATTGTGACTAAATCAGATGATCTGGTCACACAAGTGCACCGTGACTAAATCAGATGATCTGGTCACACAAGTGCACCGTGACTAAATCAGATGATCTGGTCACACAAGGACATCGTGACTAAATCAGATGATCTGGTCACACAAGTGCACCGTGACTAAATCAGATGATCTGGTCACACAAGGACATCGTGACTAAGTCAGATGATCTGGTCACATAAGTACATTGTAATGAAATCAGAAGATCTGGTCACACAAGGACATCGTGACTAAGTCAGATGATCTAGTCACACAAGGACATCGTGATGAAATCAGAAGATCTGGTCACACAAGGACAATGCGACTAAATCAGATGATCTGGTCACACAAGTGCACCGTGACTAAATCAGATGTTCTGGTCACACAAGGACATCGTGACTAAGTCAGATGATCTGGTCACACAAGTACATCGTGATGAAATCAGAAGATCTGGTCACACAAGGACAATGCGACTAAATCAGATGATCTGGTCACACAAGTGCACCGTGACTAAATCAGATGATCTGGTCACACAAGTGCACCGTGATTAAATCAGATGATCTGGTCACACAAGGACATCGTGTTGAAATCAGAAGATTTGGTCACACAAGGACAATGCGACTAAATCAGAAGATCTGGTCACACAAGGACATTGTGACTAAACCAGATGATCTGGTCACACAAGTACATCGTGATGAAATCAAAAGATCTGGTCACACAAGGATATTGTGACTAAATCAGATGATCTGGTCACACAAGGATATTGTGACTAAATCAGATGATCTGGTCACACAAGTGCACCGTGACTAAATCAGATGATCTGGTCACACAAGTACACCGTGACTAAATCAGATGATCTGGTCACACAAGGACATCGTGACTAAATCAGATGATCTGGTCACACAAGTGCACCGTGACTAAATGACTAAATCAGATGATCTGGTCACACAAGGACATCGTGACTAAGTCAGATGATCTGGTCACACAAGGACATCGTGACTAAGTCAGATGATCTAGTCACACAAGGACATCGTGACTAAGTCAGATGATCTAGTCACACAAGGACATCGTGACTAAGTCAGATGATCTGGTCACACAAAGTTTATTTCTGGATACAGACATTATCTGATGTCCAATTCATGTATCGTCTGCTTCCTATTGTCGCCATATTGGTTGTCACTTTATTTAAGTCATTAAAAGATAAATGGATTTTTCACCTTTAAACAATTTTCATTTCAAGATATTCGAAAATACAATTCTGAGAAAATAACGTTTTAGTTCCTAAACCACATAAAAATGTCATCTGCTTCCTGCCTTCCGGTAACAAGATGGTAGCATTGATGTGGAATAGTGAATTGGCAACTAATGTTTGTTTGTCTGGGGTTTTATTTTAGTTCACAGAACTTATACATGTGTTGTATGACTGATTTCTATGGGAGTGTGTCAATGACAAGGTTTGGTATTCGTGTAACCATGGTGTTTTATAAACACGGGGGAAACCCGGTTATAGTCAGTTGATAAGGTTCTCTATATGTACCCACCCATGAAACAGTACACAACGATGACACAACACGTGTGAGAACTTCACAACAACAGCACTTAATACTTAGCTACTTACACAGCGACTTCATTCGTTTTAAAAGGGCGTATCTCTTTATCACATCTACTCAGAACACGGACTGTAAATAACATGATATAATGATTAGCTTTACCCTAAGCATGAAATTACATATAAAAATAACAATTATATAGACAATGAACCCTTGTACATGTTCACTATGTATTCATCAGCTGTCTTAAGTCAGATGTCAAATTATACCTAATTAGACATCATCTACTTACAAACAGACAAATGAACCATTAAAAGTAGTTTTATCAAGTAGTTTTATAAAGTTATTTTATAAAGTAATCTGGTTTAAAATACGAATGCATATTTGGAAATATACACGTACACTATTCCTAGGTTGTGATAAGGTAAGAAATCAGATATCAACTTACACAGCAGTCTTTGTTGATCCACAACTACTCACTAGTGCACAGGTCAGCATAAGTAACGTCATATGTATAGTCAGTGTAGCAATACTTATTTATATACCATTTCCTTGTCTTACTCGTGTAACACTTGTTTGATCTCATATCTAGCTAAGTATGGTCTACTCAACTGACCTCTATCTGTTATCACTCAGCAGACGCCTACTATGGGTATTCCCTCTAATACCACACCTTCCGACAGGAAATACTCAAACACCACAATGAAAATATCAAATATATTTATTGTAATGAGCGCATAATCGCCACTGACCGACAGTTTCACAATGTAAGTACATATAGGATATCTAATAGTCTTCAGTAATAACAAATATATTTCACTCGTGTGGCTAATATTTTGGTATCACACGTGCGATTCTGTTTATTACATTTTCATCGCAAAAATAAACCAAAACAATGGCAAACTTACGATAACTATCAAATGGGTAAGTTGACCATGCTTTTTCCAGACACTACTCACTCATTATACAAGGATGTTGTGCGCGGCAAAAAATAGTCCATTTTATGGAAAATCAGTAAAAATATACAGACTCATAAATAAATCATAATGAATGTGTATTTGTGTTTGGACATGGATTTTGTAATTTATTGATCTCACTTATACACAATAAAATGGTTTAAACGTTAACTGAAAAAATAAAAACAATATTTGATAAATTCTTCCGCGCCTGAAAAAGTATGGCGCCATCCTGGAATTGGAGTAGATTAGTATTGGGCTTTCTGATTGGTCAATCCTCAAAGTGATATTTTTCACTAAAAATAAAGTCATGTGCACTGTCGTAGCGACTATCGCTGAATGATCCGACAGTCAACAACATCTCGTGCACGTGCATGCAAAGCACCCCCTATCGGAAAGTATGACACTGGAGGGAAAGTAATCATTGGCTAATTCTGTTCCATCAAACTCCGATAATTATATTAATTGTCACTCTCGTATTAAACAACAAGGATAGAAAGAAACTGGACTTTATTGATACAAAACTATACCGAAGTATTACACTTCGAATTCTGACTTAGAGAACGTTTAAACTTACTAGAAATACTTTAAATGCCGTTTGAAATTACCAAGTTTTCATAATATTTTACCAAATTCAGCAATATGAAAAGCTGTCATAACTATTTGTACAAACTTAGCAATACAACGCAAAATAGGAACGTATCATAATGCCTTACACACAAGTATCTGCTTTGACACTTGCCACAAAAAATGACCAACAATGACCAACAAGGAACACAACTCCCGCCAAATCACCAATCACAAGACAATATGAACAACCAATGAAACACAGACAGACCACCTTGGACTTTGGACCATAAAACAAGTCACAACCAGGTATGCATACATTAAGTTAACGCAAAACATGTAAAACATCACACCCTGTAACATATAACACAGACAAATAAACTTAACACACACATAAAACAAGCTGGACTCTTCTTTTCGAACCTGTTTCTGGTGTTATACTCCATTTTCCATATTTGTCTCCGGTTTTTTACTGTACTTTCCATATCTGTTTCCGGTGTTATACTGTACTTTCCATATCTGTTTCCGGTGTTATACTCCATTTTTTGAACCTGTTTCAGGTGTTATACTCCACTTTTCGTACCTGTTTGCGGTGTAACACTCTTCTTTCCATATCTGCTTCCGGTGTTATACTCTAATTTCCATATCTGTTTCCGGTGTTATACTCTACTTTCCGTACCGGTTTCCGGTGTAACACTCTTCTTTCCATATCTGTTTCCGGTGTTATACTCTACTTTCCGTACATGTTTCCAATGTAACGATCTTCTTTCCATATCTGTTTCCGGTGTTATACTCTACTTTTCAACCCTGTTTCTTGTGTTATACTCCACTTTTCGTACCTGTTTCCGGTGTTATACTCTACTTTCCATATCTGCTTCCGGTGTTATACTCTACTTTTCAAATCTGTTTCTTGTGTTATACTCCACTTTTCGTACCTGTTTCCGGTGTTCTTACTCTACTTTCCATATCTGCTTCCGGTGTTATACTCTACTTTCCATATCTGTTTCCGGTGTTATACTCCACTTTCCGTACCTGTTTCCGATGTTTAACTCTACTTTCTGTACCTGTTTCCAGTGTTATACTCTACTTTCCGTACCGGTCCCGGTGTAACACTCTTCTTTCCATATCTGCTTCCGGTGTTATACTCTAATTTCCATATCTGTTTCCGGTGTTATATTCTACTTTCCGTACCTTATTCCGGTGTTCTCTACTTTCAATATCTATTTCCGGTGTTATACTCTAATTTCCATATCTGTTTCCGGTGTTATTCTCCACTTTCCGCATCTGTTTCCGATGTTTAACTCTACTTTCTGTACCTGTTTCCAGTGTTATACTCTACTTTCCGTACCGGTCCCGGTGTAACACTCTTCTTTCCATATCTGCTTCCGGTGTTATACTCTAATTTCCATATCTATTTCCGGTGTTATATTCTACTTTCCGTACATGTTTCCAGTGTTATACTCTACTTTCCGTACCTGTTTCCAGTGTTATACTCTACTTTCCGTACCTGTTTCCAGTGTTATACTCTACTTTCCGTACCTATTTCCGGTGTTATACTCTACTTTCCGTACCTGTTTCCGGTGTTATACTCTACTTCCCATACATATTTCCGGTGTTATACTCTACTTTCCATATCTGTTTCCGGTTATATACATCATTGTCTGTGTCTGTTTCCGATGTTATTCACTTATCTCCGTGCTTGTTTCAAGTGTTCTCTATTCTTTGTGTCTGTTTCCTTAGCTTTTCTCGGCATTATTCTCTACTCCACGTAATTGTTTTCGGTGTTATAATCTACTCTCCCCATGTACAGGTGCTGTGGAACAACCCTTCAGGACTGGCATACGAGGACAGTTCGGGAATGGCGGTTTATATGACACCGAATCTCCGTCCGAACGTTGCCGGTTTCGCCACCATAGATTCAACTGTGTTCCAAATCCCTCCGGGTATGGAATCTTATCTAGTGATGGGTGGATGTCCTGGAAAGTGCACCAACAAACGCATTACAAAAGAAGTGTACATTGCTATGGGAATCAACCTTATGCATAAACTAGGTAAAGAGTTCAAAGAAGTAAAACAATGTATTTTATATCTTATCTGTTTCATTTTACTTTTAAGCTCAGTTTTTAAAATCTTTAAATTTATCATCTTTCCTTTGTCCCATAGGCTTTGAAATAATTTCATGTTTTTTGCTTGTTTATCTTTTTTGTCGTTGTTTTTTTGTTTTGTTTTGTTTTTTTGTTTTTTTGTTTTTTTTGTTTATCCTTTTACACTTTGATCTTTGAAGCAAATATCTGTTTTTTAGTGTTTTCGATTTCCTCGCTTAGGTAAAAATCAAAGAGTGGAGCTAATACGGAACAACACAATTATTCATAACTTGACAAGAAGTGATGACGTCGACCCTAATCGTCCCGACGTATTCAGGTAAGTAGCACGAGAGTGTACATATTTCTCTCTCTCTCTCTCTCTCTCTCTCTCTCTCTCTCTCTCTCTCTCTCTCTCTCTCTCTCTCTCTCTCTCTCTCTCTCTCTCTCTCTCTGTCGCCTTGTTTCTGTCTCTCTGTCTCTGTCTCTGTCTCTGTCTCTGTCTCTCTGTCTTTCTCTCTCTGTCTTTGTCTCTCTCTGTTACTCTGCCTCTGTGTGTGTGTCTCTCTCCCTGTCTCTGTCTGTCGCCTTGTTTCTGTCTCTCTCTCTCTCTCTCTGCCTGTCTCTCTTTCTCTGTCTTTCTCTCTCTCTCTCTCTCTCTGTTTGTCTCTTTGTGTTTTTCTCTCTCTATCGCTCTCTGTCGCGTTGTTTCTGTCTGTCTGTCTGTTTCTCTCTATCTCTCTGTTACTCTCCCTCTCTCTCTCTCTCTCTGTCGTCTTGTTTCTGTCTGTCTGTCTGTCTGTCTGTCTGTCTCTCTCTCTCTCTCTCTCTCTCTCTCTCTCTCTCTCTCTCTCTCTCTCTCTCTCTCTCTCTCTCTCTCTCTCTCTCGGTCTTTGTTTCTCTCTACATTACAATAATGTTACCTTAAATATGAAATATACACTCAACAAAAAAGAAACGCACAAAGTTTCCCTCCCCGCCTGCATAACACTGTGCTGAAAGGAAATAATGGAATATTTGGTCAGGTAATACTTCAAGAAGAATCTCACTTCTCGATAATCTTCCCTAAAATCAGTCAAGCGTGATGATGTCATTGTCTGACTTCATGAGCTTCTTAAGACCAAATCACGCGGCATGATCAAGCAAGCAGGATTTTTTCAAATGAAAAATTCAACGGATACTCTATGTTCAGTCACATTAATTTCCAAGTTTGTATTTTGATTCCGCCATTGACCGAGAGGCCACGCTGAACACAAATTCAGAAGGGTAACGCAATTGCGATGTTAATGGATGGTCATAGCCAAACTGCTATCGCACACAGTTTGCTGTGCCCCGTGTACAATTAACCGTTCTATGCTACTGGGTTAGTTTCCTATCGACTTCTGCATGTACTCCTGGTAGACCCATTAGTGCTCAAACTGCCAGGAACCGCTTGCGGAGGCCACAAATGCGTCTTGACTGGGTGCGCAGACATGGCCCGTTTGGGGGCGGTCGATGTTCACCGACGAGTCTAGATTCTGTCTGTATGTGTCCCATGGAGTAAAGTCCGCCTTAGTGGTCCTGGATCCAAACCTCAATGCCGTTGGATACAGAGACCAGATCCTCCAATCACATGACCTTCCACTTCTCAGACGTCATAACCTATTTTTTCCAGCAAGACAATGCTCGATGGCATGTTGCTAGAGTCGTGAATTTCTCACGGCAAACAACGTTCAGCCTCTGGAATGGCCCCCACATAGCTCCGACATGTCTCCTATCGAGCATCTCTGGGACGAGCTGGACAGGCGTTTTGGGAAACGGCAAACACCCCAACTAACCGCGCCCAGTTGATCGCAGCAGGGCGAATTAATAATCTCATGAATTCGATGTATAGGAGCTTCCGTCCACACCAGGTATTGAAGTTTTTCGCGGGTGTCCCACTTTGAGTACCTACTGACGACACGGATGACATCACACATACTTTTCTTCTACAGTATTGCAAAGAGTAGACTTGTCCCTTCACATTGATATAAGGTTTTATATAAATTTCACAAAATAGCATAGACTATTGATTGCATAATGTTATTGTGTGGTTTTTTTAGAATGAATTTACCTTGTGAAGTTTTTATTAAATCGTTCAGATAAATAAGCAAATAAATAAATCAGTTGAATGTCACAGATAATTTAGTGTAACATTTCGTAACCATGTATATATATATATATATATATCTTTATGTATGTTTCAGACATATCGATCCAGTCCGAGTACTTCCGGGAGATTCCATCCGCATGATCTGTGAATTCAACTCGACACAAATGACGTCACCAGTGAACAGGGGCTTGTCACCAGAGGAAGAAATATGTCGTGCTCAGTTGATGTACTATCCGAAGGAAAACTGGGTGAACCCGACGTGTCTTGGTTACAAACACGTGCCCCTTTGTTTATTCGAGACGGTTGGAGAGGCTATGAACTGTAACTATCAATCGTTTCTCGATAGTCTACAAAAGGAAGCTCACTTCAACACCACCATTGCTACATGTGGTTTGGCCACGACCTGCTCCGCTGCATGCTTACATCTCGTCAGCAAAGATCGGCAACACCCATGTCTGCGGGGCGAGTTATACGAGCTATGGAAGTCCGAGCTAATTGGTCAGCCCGACGAAAAGATGAAAAATTTGTATAAGGCTCTCGTCCCTTGTGAAAAATTGTACGAACAGAATGCGCACCTTGTGCCGAGTCGAGGACGTACGGCGCCATGAAGTTACCTCCCTTGATATTGGTCTATCGGCAAGGGACATTTTACTTCAAAACTTCAAAATTACCACAAGAAAGTGTTTACAAAATAAAATATTTGAAAATATATCATTATCGTTTGCTGCATTAGCAATGAGCTTAAATTGACATATTTGACGATACTGTTTAAGTCTGAAAAGTTTAAAAAAAATAATTCTCTTTCCGTAGAAGAATGAATTCAGCTCCAATTATTATTTATTGGAACCCTTCAACCGCTACAACATGATGTCGGAACGAAATATTATGAAATAGTGCGAATGGAAAGGATACAGTTTTTTATAAAATTTTCCATAAATTTTAATATATATAAGACGCTATCGTTGTGTGGCCAAGAAAACACCTTATTTTATTTGGATTGTGAGGAAAGGGGATTAACATAACGCAATATGGCGCCATCTACATCCGGTTCCGGCTAATTTTTTTTTTTTAAATCTTACAGCACATCCGCTTATCTAATGTTAAACGGAGACAATTCAGTCGATAGAGAATACTGAACGTATCTTTAAATAACATAATATGCCATTATTTTGTTTAGCGTGAAATTTGTAACATTCTTTCAACTTAAGCAACCGCAATGTAAAGAAATAATTCTTTAGTCGAACATCGAAATTGATAATGTAGAAAATATTTTCTAGAAACAAACCACCATACTCTATTAAATTCCATCCTTTATTACAAAATTCTGCAATAATACAGATTAACCTTTCTCTTTGCAGTGATTTGACGTATTTTTTTAAATATCCAGTTCGTGTTATTTTTCGAGTTGCCTTCTATAACAATTAATCTTTCAGATTTATAAAAAAAGTAAAATTTTACCCAAATACGATACTATAGTACCTGATTGAACACAATATGGATTTCATAGTTGAAGAAAGTTTATTGCAGAAATAGTATACATGTCTAGCTAAAATAGGGTATTTGGAGATAAAGTTAGAAAAAATTATACTGGATCTACAACAGCTGGAAAAGATATCATGTTGAAGTAGACGATTGGTATCGTGATGTCCAGTCACATGGCAATGGTTTCACGGGCAACTCGAGACAAAAAACATTTCAACAATGATATATATCATGTAATACATTTAGTTCCATATATAAATGTTTTTTGAAAGTGAAACGTGAGTTCCTTCCTTTTTTCTGTTTTTGTTTTGTTTTGTTTTTGTTTAGTATTTTTGTTGTTGTTTTCTGAGTTGTATGAAAAATTGCGGAATGAATGTTACTGCAAAGCGGTTGTTAAAATAAAGACAGAATGTGACCAGAGGTTCCGGATGGGTAAAAACCCTTGTTAAAGTAGAAAGAGGACAAGACCAGAGGTTACTGAAGTAGAAAGAGGACATGACCAGAGGATACGGAAGTAGAAAGAGGACATGACCAGAGGTTACGGAAGTAGAAAGAGGACATGACCAGAGGTTACGGAAGTAGAAAGAGGACATGACCAGAGGTTACTGAAGTAGAAAGAGGACATGACCAGAGGATACGGAAGTAGAAAGAGGACATGACCAGAGGTTACGGAAGTAGAAAGAGGACATGACCAGAGGTTACTGAAGTAGAAAGAGGACATGACCAGAGGTTACGGAAGTAGAAAGAGGACATGACCAGAGGTTACTGAGGTAGAAAGAAGACATGACCAGAGGTTACGGAAGTAGAAAGAGGACATGACCAGAGGTTACGGAAGTAGAAAGAGGACATGACCAGAGGTTACTTGTTAAAGTAGAAAAAGGATGTGACCAGAGGTAACGGAAGGGTAAAAACCCTTGTTAAAGTAGAAAGAGGACATGACCAGAGGTTACGGAAGTACCAAAGAGGCTAAAAACATGACCAGAGGTTACGGAAGGGTAAGCCCTTGTTAAAGTAGAAAGAAGAGGACATGACCAGAGGTTACAGAGGTAACGGAAGGGAAGTAGAAAGAGGGATATCCGGAAGGGTAAAAGCCCTTGTTAAAGTTGAAAGAGGATGTGACCAGAGGTTGCGGAAGGGTAAAAACCCTTGTTAAAGTAGAAAGAGGATGTGACCAGAGGTTACGGAAGGGTATAAGCCCTTGTTAAAGTAGAAAGAGGATGTGACCAGAGGTTACGGAGATAGAAAGAAGATATGTCCAGAAGTTCCGGAAGGGTAAATACCCTTGCTCAAGTAGAAAGAGGATGTGACCAGAGGTTCCGGAAGGGTAAAAGCCCTTGTTAAAGTAGAAAAAGGATGTGACCAGAGGTTACGGAAGGGAAAAAGTCCTTATTAAAGTAGAAAGAGGATTTGACCAGAGGTTCCGGAAGGGTAAAAGCCCTTGTTAAAGTTGAAAGAGGATGTGACCAGGGGTTACGGAAGGCTAAAAACCCTTGCTCAAGTAGAAAGAGGATGTGACCAGAGGTTACGGAAGTAGAGAGAAGATATATCCAGAAGTTCCGGAAGGGTAAAATCCCTTGTTAAAGTTGAAAGAGGACATGACCAGAGGATACGGAAGTAGAAAGAGGATATGTCAAGAGAGTACGGAAGTAGAAAGAGGATATGAAAAGATCATTCAGAAGGGTGAAAGTCATTCTTAAAGTAGAAAAGTAGGTTAAAGAGAAAGATGTGACCAGAAGGTTCCAGAAGGGCAAAACCCTTGTTAAAGTAGAAAGAGGATGTGACCAAAGGTTCCGGAAGGGTAAAAGCCCTTGTTAAAGTAATAAGTTAAAGTTTAAAGAGGATGACCAGAGGTTAAAGCCCTTGTTAAAGTAGAAAAAGGTAAAAGGGTAAAAGCCCTTGTTAAAGTTGAAAGATAATGTGACCAGAGGTTGCGGAAGGGTAAAAGCCCTTGTTAAAGTTGAAAGAGGACGTGACCAGAGGTTACGGAAGGGTAAAAACCCTTGTTAAAGTTGAAAGAGGATGTGACCAGAGGTTCCGGAAGGGTAAAAGCCCTTGTTAAAGTAGAAAGAGGATGTGACCAGAGGTTACGGAAGGGTAAAAGCCCTTGTTAAAGTAGAAAGAGGATGTGACCAGAGGTTACGGAAGAGTAGAAGCCCTTGTTAAAGTAGAAAGAGGATGTGACCAGAGGTTCCGGAAGGGTAAAAGCCCTTGTTAAAGTAGAAAGAGGATGTGACCAGAGGTTACGGAAGGGTAAAAGCCCTTGTTAAAGTAGAAAGAGGATGTGACCAGATTTTCCGGAAGGGTAAAAGCCCTTGTTAAAGTAGAAAGAGGATGTAACCAGAGGTTGCGGAAGGGTATACCGTTGTTGTTCTGAAGAGAGAATATGACCTGTTGTTAAGATAAAAACCGTTGTTAACGTAGAAAAGCAGATATTACCAGATGTTCCTAAAGACTCGGAGCAAACTATAGCTAAAAGCTTTTACACTAACATTTAAAGTGTCCAAAACTTCATAAGTTGTAATAATTAAAACTAAAGAGAAAAATTTAACGTATATTGTATGTAAATCTAGGATTGATCAATCAGATCGGGTTTGGTAAATCGATAATCGATCCAGCCAGGCCCAGTAGTCCTTAAGCAATTCTGCTTGGATATCTTTTTGATACACGTATAACTGTGTAAGCTGAAATTAAAATAAATAAATGGAAAATAACAATTGTCTGTCGAATTCGGGAGTTGTCTTTCCTTGTCTATTCGTCTCCGAACACGAAGCTATAACGTGACAAAAGAAAGTTTTAACCTTTGTGATTTATATCAAATGTTCAGATCTAACTAGCTGATATTGTCATCCCTATGCAGGAATTTATATTTCAGTCTCATTAAAGAAGTATTCGAGTCAGGTTTTGTGTAATCATTGTATCTATCATGAACAGAAAGCAATAATTTTTTTTATCTCGTCTGTAACTGCTATGTTAAGCTACAAATCTTCAAATTTAAAAATTCGAATGTCATCTTATTTCCTTAAAACTAAGTCATCAAAGGGTTAACAAGGCAGATCAGTGCATATTTGTGTAAAATATCAAAATAAATCTCAGGATCTAAACCTACATGATGTGAGAGGTTTAAACTTTTATTTGGTATTCATACAGCAATGAACTAAGATATATACAGGAAAAATTCAAAAAGCAGAACTAGATACTTATATTTGTAAATTGTCGACATTGTGTGTATGTATACTTTTTACAACATTCACAACAAAACATAATTCTAAACAAGATATTGATTGACATAATGAACACATTACCAGATATCAAATATTACACATATTCCACTACATAGTCTTTGTAAATTATTGTTAGAAAAAATTATGAAAATCTTCCGCATCATCGATACAGAACATAAACGAAAAACATCCACAATCGTTGAAAATGACTGAATTTTACGATTGTTTAAAATGACCAATTTTTATAAAAGTTGAAAAGACTGAATTTTACAATTGGTTAGAATTGATTAAATTTGTAATTGTTGAAAAATGACTGAATTTTACAATTGTTTAAAATTGATTGAATTTGTAATTGTTGAAAAATGACTGAATTTTACAATTGTTTAAAATTGATTGAATTTGTAATTGTTGAAAAATGACTGAATCTTACAATTATTGAAAATAAAAGCCTAAAGCGATGTAAGTTAAGATAGAAAATGTGTTATAGAAAAATGGAAAAGATTCAATATTGCAAATACACAAGCATTGTAAAAAATTATGTTATCAACATATTATAGCAATATTGTAACTAGAAATAATAGATCACCACATCAACAAAAAGATGGTATTGAAATGAAGTTAGACATATCACCTATGGTTACCCATCACATCCGGGAACAGATGGATCTCAGAGTAGATCAAATTCCTTGGTGTAGGCAACCTGTTTTACGTGGTGTAATGATGTAGTGATAAGACCCCCCATCTCTGATATATACAAACATTTCAACTGTCTTTTCACTACATATTGCGGACATCCTTTTTTGTCGAGGTAGTGTAATTATATAGCAGTTTCTTGGTTAAGCGATTTGGGGCCGTAGATACTGGGTTCGATGCCTAAAAATAGCAATAAATGAACAAAATAACAT